GCTAAAGATGCTGTTTTCAGCTCTAGATGACCTCTGTCAAAAGGAAGAGCTACTTGCTGTGACTGCCAACCATGCCTGTGTCCCTCCGTTGTCAGTTATGGACCACACACGGGCTGGCAAGAAATTTCCTTCTTGTAAGCATACTGTTTTTGTTAGTTTTAAGAAACTTGAGTTGTCTTAACCAAAGGTAAAATCATGGAATAGTTATTATGAAATTGTGGAAAAGTAGCAGGCCTTACATTTCATTGTTGGAATATATAATGTTTCTCTGTCGGGGTCCTTTTCTCCAGTGATCTCTGTTTTAAATGAAGATGTATTACCAAATAAACCACAGTAACACACACTAAAAAGTGTCAAACATTTTTTCAGTGTGCTGCTACTAAAGAATTATTTCAAAAGACAAGAAGAATGTTTCTGCAGGACTGTAATAAAAGAGCTCCACTTGAACAAAGCTCTCAACTATTTAGGGCCAGGGATTTAGCTCAGTGTTTCCACCGCCTGCTTTGCAAGCGTAAGGTTCACAAGTTCAATCCCTGGTACCACACACACAAAAAAAGCTCTCAACTATTTAAATGTCTTCTGAGCATTCACAAAACGAGGTTGGAAACACCAACCCTTTATGTTACATCACTTTAACAAAAAAGGTCACTTGGTGGTACAGTTTTTAAGAGCATTCTACATCCATATAAAATCCTTCCTATGAGAATAACTTGCCAAAAAACAAGACCGTAGGACCTGCAGTCCCACTTAGCATGTAAGATTTGGTTGTCTTAGAACCAAAAGAGCCTCAGCATTCTTTGTCCCTAATGAGTCCTTCCCTATCCCCTCCTTTCTTGGTTCTTCCTTTTGTCTGTTTTGCACTTCTAGTCCCAGCTAAGCAGTATGCAGACCTGCACGGCCAAGGCAGTAGCTTCCAGCGATCCTCCCTGCAGTCCTCCCTTCAGCCGCACCTCGTTCATGGTCCCCACAGGATGCTGGTCACCCTCTGGCCACCAGCCACCGTGGGAGCCGGGAGCCGCTGCCAGGCAGCCTGCAATTCATACCAATGCCGCCAAGAGAACGGCGACCAGCCAGCTGTCCACTGATGTTGCCTCTAAGTGACGTGTGTCTTCCTTTTTCCTTTTACTTAACAATTTTATAGTGCCGAGTCTACCCAATGTTATAAAATGATTCCCAAACGTAAAGTTCCTTGTCCCGAGGAATTTGCAATTTAAAAAGAATAACGCAAGGCAAGGGGATAGGACAGAGTGAGAAGAAAGAGTTTATATGAAAGGTGAAATAGAATCAATAAAATTTGCAATAGACCAAAAAACTGAAAGGCTAAATTAGAATCTCAGGTCCCCATAGCAGATTATGACAATAAGGATTTGCTGTAAGATCTGCAGTAACAACAGAATTTTACTGTTTATCAGGTGCCACGCAGTAACACTGCAATAATTATATAAGGTACATACTATTACTATATCTAACTGAAAAAAGCTAGAGCTTCTTTTAGATACTTAAAAATAAATAACTCTAGTGTTTATGAACTACCATGAGTGATTCCAAATACTTTGCAAATATAAATTAATTTATTTTTCACAGAATCCCTGTGAGGGAGGAACTATTATTATTTTACAGATAAAGAGTAAAGCAGACAGGTACACTCATTTGTTCAAGGTTACACAGGTACAAGGTGGGAGAGCCAGAATTTGAACCCAGAGAGTCCAAATGACACAGGCAGGATGCAAACCCAGGAGGTTTAACTCTGAGGGCAGTGGGGTTTGTGCATATTACATAAATATTTAATTTAATTAAAAATATGTATATGGATTATCAACAATGCAATTGTTAAATAAAAAAGTGTTTATCTGAAGAATAAATACTGTCCAAGAATAGGGAGAAAGAAGCAAGTTTTCTTTCCTTCTTCATTCAACAAATGTATACCAGTGTCTGTTTATACTAGACACAGAATATGGTGCTGGTGCAATGGCAGTGAACAAGGGAGACAAAAATGGGAGAAAATGGGGGAAACGAGATGTTGGCATAGACTGGCCACTAGCAATAGGAGGAACTACTCAACAAGACATAAGGGAACATTGCACTCATATACAAAGAATGGCATAATTCTCTAGGCTGTACGGGCCTGCATATTATGTAGTCCTTTTTTCATTTTCTCTTATTCCCTTTTAGTTATGACAGTCAGAGAAAACGCTATCAAAAAACATTAATGTGCACAATTATTAACATTTCAAATAATACTTTGGACAGAACACTTTATAACATCAATACACGCAGCTGTTAGTCTGAGCACTTTACAGGTAATAACTAATTTAATTATCATAATCCTAAGAGATAGATACTGTTATGACCCCAATTTTATAAGTGAGAAACTGAAGCTCAGAAATATTAAGAAACATGTCCAAGGACTGAAGGATGAAATCACCGAAACTACACTTTAGATTACTTATTGATTTCATTTACTCTCTAACTTCTCTTCAGAATAACATTTTGACTGAGGGTGTTTTACAAGTGTAGATAGGAAAAAGATGACAGCAGAAAAAAGGGTTCCACACAAACTGAATAGACATCAGTATTTACCCACCACAGCAATTTAAGAACCTTAGGGGCTGTGGATCTAGCTCAGTGGTAGAGCACTTGCTGAGCAGACAAGGCCCTTGGTCATATCCCTGGCACTCTACACTAAAAATGGGGTGGAGAATTTTATTTGATTTCAAAAATTTTGACAGGTTCTCTCTCTTTTTTAAAGACTATCTGTGCTTCTATTCTACAAGGCACATTTCAGCACTGAAGCTGGGATGGAAAAGTGGCCTTTAAAAAAGTAAAGATTGAGAACTAAAGTTTCCCAGGCCTTTTATGAAAGGCCAGACTCTTCTGGCATAACCATCCACTGTGGAGATAGGAGTATGATGTCCATTCCTGCCATCCAATCAGTTCTCTACCTCGCCTTATTTTTTAAACTCTATTTTACTTCCTGATTTTTCTATAACTAAAATAAAGCATTTAAAACACTAAAACTAAAGTCAGAAGAGAAAGCCCCCCCCCCCCGGTTCTCCATCAGATGAACATAGAATAACATTTGTTTAGAAATCTTTTTTTATGGCTGTGTACACTGTATCTCGGCTAAAACAGAACATATCTTGAAGAAACAGAACAATAACTTGGTTTCCCATATAGCAAACAAAAAAGTCTCCTCTTCCCATTTGAGCATTGGTTTTAAAATCCTAACATATAAGGAGTCTAAAAAGTTATGTGCTACTATGGGGAAATAATAAAACAATAAAATAATGAAATCTTTTCTCAATTCCTATATTTAGTCATTTGATTCTCTCCTACCACAGGTCACTTCCAAAATCAAGGGAGGGGCAGAACTAAGGGACATCTTCAGAGATGACCATGTGCAAGACCTCTGGACCACCCCTCCCTTTCCAGGTTCTCTGGTCCTGGGAACAGAACTCTGAAATTCCTGAGGCAACTCCCACTCCTTGCTCTGAGCAGGCTGTTCTTTCTGTGGAGAGGTCTCTCCTGGCTCTCCTGTTCTCTGCGTGGCTAACTTTAACTTCTGCTTTAAAACCTAGCTCAAGTACCACCCAGTCTTTCACTATTCCCTGACCCTCTTCCGAAATCACATCTGTAGTGGAGTGCTCAAGTATGATTTCCCCCTAGCATTTAGTGCAATTGTTTACTTATTTATTCTTATATCCACTAGCCAATCCATTATTCAACGAATATTTCCGGAGCATTTAGTATTTTTTCTAGCACTGGGCTAGATATGAGGGAGATAGGAATAAAAGAAATTCCTTAATATGGCTCCTAGAAGATAGTGATACTCACTGATTATTCCTGAAATGGATGAATGGAATTAGGTCATTACATAAATAGTGAGAGGAAGACCAGTAGAAGATTACAGTCACATGAAAGTGATTTTATTTTTCCATTTTTTTCATCACTTGCATCCTATTATGTTGCACACTTCTAGCTATCTTCTTTAAGTTTTTGTTCTCTTCTCTTCCAATTGTCTTTATTTTATTGCTGCCCTTATTTGGACAAACAGGAGCTTTCATATGGACAGACTTGGTTCTAACATCATGGTTTGTCACTTACTAGCTATATGACCTTTGGCTTTTTGCCTAACTACTCTGGGCTTCAAATGTCTCCCCTCTGCAAAATGAACATTACAAATACCTATAGGATGGAGTATCATGTGAAGATTAAATGAGATTCACATGTATAAATGTTTAGCTAGCACGAAGCCTAGCTCTTAGAGGCTCTTCCTCTGCTTTCTTTTGTTTCTCCCCTCTCCTACCAGTTATTCTTCCCACAAGATACAGGAAAGCATACTGTTTTTTAAAAACTGTATTATTATTTTGATATATTACTTTTCCCTTAAATTCTTTTATTGGTACATTTTAGGTATACAATACATTTACATTTATCATTGTGAGCTTGTAACTTCACATGATGTATCTGGGTTCTTATTTTTCCCCATTCCCTTGTATTTTGATGTATTATTTTGATCTATGTCAAGGATATGTACCTAGCCATTAGACCCATTAAACTTTTGTTTTTTATAGAAATGACTTTTTGAATATATAAAAATTTAAAAAGGAGGAAGAAGAGGGGGAAGAATAACAACAACAACAAAAACTATGGGTTGATCCTCACCCTACACCCCACAAAAAGTTAACCTCCACAAAAAGACAGCTGAAATATTGCCCCAGCTAGGAGACCCTGACAATTGTGATCTATGGGCAGCGTGCTTTCTTTGAGGCAATCTGGTCTTTATGATTATGTTTATGCTGCCCAGAAGCAAATAAGGGCTAAGGAAAGCGGGGGGGGGGGGCTCCCACTTCCCCTGGGGACCGGAAGCCAGACTCTGAAGTGGATTCTACACGGGCTGGTCCTGAATCCTTGGACCACAGAGGAGAGGGAAGCTGTGGGAAGTGCCCAGCGAGGATCTGCTTACTCCATGGGGTCTCACCTACTCTCTTCATTCCTAGGCACCTAAGATCCCCTGAGACCCCACACGCTTAGAGAGAGCTGTGCCTCTCACTCAGAAGTTGCCGACGAGCGCCAAGCTGTCCGGTTCCAGCACAGCCCCGCCCAGGTACCCCGCCAGCCTCTACCTCAAACTGTGGCTCGAGAGCCCCGGGCCCGACCCCAGTCCCTCAAGGCCCTCACCGCTGCCCCGCAGTGTCCAGCAAAAGCCCTGGCACGCCGGGAACTCGCACCCGGTTCTCCTCATTGAGCGCACCCGTCTTTCTCCAATCAAGTCAGCCGACCGTCAGCATCTCAGAACCCACGCTCTCTCCATCTTGCCCTGCGATCCTACTCCGAAGCACAGGAGGATTCGCTGAGGACCTGCATCCCCACCGCTCGGTCCGGAGCAGCGCCCCCAGAGCACACAGCGGTCGGTCCCCGGGCCGCCAGCCCTCCCTCCCTGGGGCTCCTAGCGCCCGGGCTCCCCCCACCTTTCATTCATTCTCTTCTCTTTACTCCTCTCCCCTTCGGGCCTGGCTTCTCACCCTCGCCTTCTCCCCGGGCCTCTCCTCTTATGGGACGTTCTCTGTGAGATCCCTGCAGATCTTTCCTTCTCCCCGGGTACGTGTAGCAGGCTCCGAAACCGACGGTGCGGGACCGGTGGCTCAGTAGGCAACGCTGCCCACCACCCAGAAAGGCTCCCAGACCCAATACTGACCTCGCCTTCCTCCTCCACGACAGGGACTCCCGCGCGCTCCCCTGGCCGGGAACCCCCTCGGGGAATCACGATGGCCTTCGAGGCAGCCCAGCTGTCAGCGAGCAAGCGTCTATTTTAAACCCGCACCGAGTGTCCCCGCCCTGAGGACACGGGCAAGGGACCAGCGACTCGGATAACGCGTTGCCGGCACGATCCCTGGGGAAACGCAAGTCTCCGCGAAGCAGGCGGCGGGGACACTAAAAGGTCCCAACACACATGACCCGAAATCCTACCAAGGGAATCAGGGACCCGGAATCAAAGTGGAGATGCCCCGTAGAGGCCACCTTGGCAAACCTGGAAAGGGAGTCGCAGGCGAGCCCTTTCCAGCAACCTCTGCCCCTCCCGTGCTCTGCTCTAGTCAATTTCTGGACAATCCAGGTGATAGCCCGCAACCCGAAATATTACTTAGAAAGCATTACGACTGGGGACTATCAAGTTATGAACAGCCACAGCGCCTAACCAGGTCCCAGACGGCTGAAAGAGCCGGGTGCACGCGTACGCGGGTCTTGGTGCTCACACACAAATCCGTCCAGGCCAGGATCCAGATTCTAGTTCGCACACTGACAAGTCCCTAAGTCTAACAGAAAATACAGAATTTCATTCACCCACCTCTTTTCCTGTCTTCTTTGGATTAGAATCCAGGGGAATTACCGGGAAAGGGTGGATCAAGAGACCCTTCTTTTCCTTTAGCCTTTCCAAAGAGTGGAAATTTCCATCATGTGATAGGGGGCAGCATCCCCAGAGTCGCGTTTCCTACGGACTCTCCCTTCCAGCCCAGCCACCAATCGCCAGGCGGCAACCTGAGATGTAAACAAAAGCATCCTCCCAGGTGGAGCCTTGTCACCCCACTGTCCCCCAAGAGCGGAGCCCGGGCGCTGAGCGTGGGTTCCTTCTTTCCTGGGTCCCACATCGCAGAGGAGATCTGGGTGTGACCTTTATCTGACGGTTAGGTTTTTCCGGAGTTGAAGTTGAATTTCTTGGATCAGTCCTATTTGCAGGAATACGTGTTGCTCTGCCTTGAAGTCCTTGAGAGTTGAGCATTCAGGGTGGGTGACTCTTTAAACTCCCCAAGGTTTGAGAATGGAAACTTAAACTTTACGTAGAGAAGAAGTGTGGAGAAGGGACACACACACACACATACACACACACACACACACAAAATCATTATCAGAAGCCACTTAATGAAAGAACAAGACAGGGAAAACCTACTGGCATTTAACCATGGATCGTTTTGTGACCATTTCCCCCCCTGCTTTCTAGATTAAGCACACTTCTCAGTGTACATGGAGAAGAATCTAGGCTGAAGTACATTACACAATACCTTCAATCTGTTAAAGGCTCTTTCTGCCATTTTAAGGAAACTTTTATACAAAACCATTTTCTGACATTTAGCAAAATTCTCGGTTCAAAAAAGGTCCCTGTAACAATATGTTCACAAGCCCCTATTTATTTAGTAGTGTGCTGTTATTCTTTAAGGAAAATGAATTCACCGGTGGAGACCTAATCTACAGTTTAGCAAACTCAAAGACTACTTCCTGACATACCCAATTTAACTTCATTCAGAATGGTGAGGTTCCCTTTCTGCCCACACCACCAACATGTGAAACCTTCTCATCTTGTAGTTCCCAATAATTGTACCACAAGCAGCACCTTGCACTTTAAAAATGAGAATAACAACCACAGAAACACACTTCGATGATATATATTACATACTAATCAAAAACATTAGAAACACTACATTGATGCACACGCACACGCATGTTCACATACACCCAGCATATTACACTAAAGCCATTCAACAATGAAAATTCAGGATGATATAGTATGTACTTTCACCAGAGCTGCCATTTCAGAACCTAAAAGGGGAAAAAAAGCCATCTACAAAAAATATTTAGTTTTATGACATCTAACTGTCCTCCTTGACCAAACTTATGTTTTCGGTTTGCCACTATTCAAAGTTCCCATTTTGTGAACTAGATTATAGCAGAATAATTTTAAAGGTTCTTTAAGGTTGAAACCAAATTCCTTTTCAACCATCCTACTTCTCTTTTGATTCTTACTTAATAAATATAAACATCTTTTATAAAGCCACTAAAATGTAAAACTTGGCAGGATTGGTCAGAGATTAGTGAGGATGAAAGTAGGTATGCATTTCTCTTTGCCTAGCCTGAGATATAGTAGAACAGAAGCCTACATTTGCAAAACAAAAAGCCATCCAAAGAAAATAAAAGTGAAGATCAGATCAAAGCAATTCTAAGACAGAAACTAGTTTCCTGTGCAACTGCTCAACTTTTTAATAAGCACCTTAGTTAATCAGTTCTTGGCATTCATAGCTTAGCTAGCACTAAAAGGATTAAAAGCTATGGCTCACTGGTTAATTTAATAGAAAACTATGGGCTTTCATCTATGTATGCTGGTAATATTAATCAGCTTGTGAGTTGAGGGAACATGAGTCTTACATTCATCTATAAGTTAATGAAGTGCTACCTTTTATAGCTAACGTAGGATTTCAGAAGATCTCAGAGCAATGTCTGGGTGGTATGAGACCACTGAGGATTCTTCATCTTACATGCTGTAATCAAAAGCTTGAGCCATGGACGGCCACATAATACCTGCCCAACAGCCTCAAGCTTTGTTTTAAACCATGTTACCTGCAAGTAGATGGAAAGGAAGAAGGAATTTCAAGTAACGACCAAGCCCTTGACAGTGGTTGTGCCTCCTGCTTGTTAATATTCAGTGGAATTCCCTTGGCAGTTATGGTGCAGTAAAAAATCAGTAAGGCCCAAAACATAAAGAACAGAGAAGAATTCTTCAGAACAATACAGTTGTTTTTATAATACCATTTAAATGAGTTTGCTTTTCTTTTTCAAAATGTGCCCATTTCCTTAGTATATTTTCTACAATTTCAAGATATATTCCTGATCTCTGCCATGATCCTGGCTAGAATTTTTAGAGATGTTTTACCCTGCCACAACTGGCTGTATATTTCTGTAATTATAGAGATTTGGTTTTTTTATGTTGACTGTGTACTAAATGTCAAGTAATATCCTCTACCTTTGTTATTAGATATAATCCTCAACCACAACCCTTTGGAATCATAGTAACAGTTTCATAAAACTGTCCTGAATGACATTTTAAAAAAATAAAATAAAATAAACCATGGTTCAAAAGTATGGGAAGCAGCTCAAACTGATGATATCCCTGTAAGACCGCATATCAAAACAAAATAACTTTGGCTTATTATTTGGTCATTTTCTGGCTCTGGAGAAGACAGATTCACTCCAAATTTCACAAATCATCCAGCAGCAGTCCAGGTACGGCCAAGTTGCTTGCATTCTTAGTTTTTCTGAGTTTTAAAAATGGAAGACTTTTTCTGATACAATGTTTTCCTGGTGTAAATTATTTTTAGACAGTACCACAAACTCATCTAGTGATGGAGAATGTTTGCACTGAAAAAAAAAAGCTTGCAGAGCAGCTGAAATTTGTTCAAGATTTTGATAAAGATTAATTAATTGAAGATTTCCATTATAAAATTATATTAACAGCGATTATAGGAGTAGCTACTGGTTTTGTTGTGGCTGCTTCTGTCTTAAGAAAAACCTATACCAAAAAAATTGCAAAACATACTCTTTAGAACTAAAGCTAACAGAGTTCTACATGCTAATAAATTTGTTAAAAGTTGTTCAGAGAGTCCCTAAAGGTTTTTTTAAATCACTGGAAAGCTTTGTGATTCTCTAAGTTGAGATGGAGCTTGCAGTATCTCTTTGTGATCATAAAACAGATTTGAGAACTATCTCCCAGGTGTAATGATCTAGAGGACAGTCACTAATAGATTATTATATAAACAAATGCCTTAGGAAGGAAACAGAACACAGTTACTATTCAAATACCATATGATAGCACTAAAATATTCCTTAATTTATGAATTATCATAGCAAAGTTTGATAGCAGCGATTTTATTACACCTTTGTATAAATGATATTTTATTTTGCAGTAAAGTTTTAACATTGATTGGATTTTCATTGATAATTATCATAATTAGTTAAATGGCTTCAGGTTACAACGCATCTTCACATATATTGTGCAACTTTATACCAAAACAAGCATATCATGCAGGTATTACTATTTTACCCATTAAAAGAAAGAAGAAAATAAGATTCAGAGAAGTAACTTGCCCAAATATGCGACACCAATAAATGACAAAAACAGCATGTAAGCCAAGTTTCTGACTTCAAATTTTACATCCCCTTTCCTATAATGCACCTCTCTTTTCTTCTGAGCATTTTCTTCACTAAGATTTGTTGTTTTTCTGCCTACGTTCAGGCCAATTCCAAATGGCATGTTTGGCCATAAAATTATGATTTTAAAATATTTTCTATGTCTAGGTGTAGATTTTTTTTATTGTAGCTAGTTGGGGTCCTATATGCCTCAGTTATCTGAACGTCAAATTCTTTCCCTCTGTTTGGGAAGTTTTCCGTCATTAATTCTGTGAACAGCTTTTTAAAGTCATTTGTATTTTCTCCTGCTACTTCATGTATTCCTATCAGTCTTATGTTATTCTTCTTTGCATCATCTACGAGTTGTTGGATCGATTTCTCATGATCTCTTACTGTTTTTAAGAGACCTCCTCTCTTTTCATGGTCACTGACTGCAATCTTATCTTCTATATCTGAGAGTCTATCCTCGCATTCTTTTATTCTGTTGCGTACACTTTCTATGGAGTGTTTAATCTCCTGGATATCTGTTTGAATCTGTTTTATGGATTCCATTTCTTTCCTATGTTGGGCGTTTATTTTTTCCATTTCTTCCTTATGCTGGGCCTTCATGGCTTCTATCATGGTCCTGAGC